TCTCCCCACAGGTCAGTCAGGACGGGAAGGCTCTGCTGGACGTATTGCAGCGTCCGCTCAGTCCGGGCAACGCGGAGTCCCTCACAGCCACTGCCAACTACTCCAAGGCTGTCCACCAAGTCCTGGATGTGGTCCACGAAGTCTTACATCACCAGCGCCGCCTGGAAAGTATATGGCAGCACCGCAAAGTCCGGCTCCACCAGCGGCTCCAGCTCTGCGTCTTCCAGCAGGACGTGCAGCAGGTGATGTTATGAAGCTGATTGTGTTCTCTGAACTTCCGCCCGGGGGGAAGCCGAGCCCGGCGATCCACCGCTCGGCAAAGCCGATATTCCGCCGTGTTCAGCCTTCTGGGTGTATACATTGTATACGGACGCGGGTCTAGAATACGGAATGGACCGTTTCCTTTACAGATCGCGCCTTCCCCTTTAACAGCGAGCGGACGGCGACACTGATTTAGATGAAAGGTTCTAGTAGAAGAAAAAGTCCTTTTTCCTGGATTTGTAAGCCGTCCGCGGCGTATCGATCCGCCGCGTCCCGCCGAGTCCTCTCTGCCAGGATCAGATTGATGTATCTAGGCTGCGGCAATGGCAGCGGCGCTCTGTAGTGCCGATACGGAGCCGGCGGCTGGAGCCTCGAGAGACGGCGACTCACAAAGGAGCGTCTGGTGGTCTGTAGCTCTCCAGATGAGGGAGAACTACAAGTGCCAGCATGATTGTCAGTTACCCCGACATTCAGATTCCGTGCAGGACTTCTCCTCACTTATCAATACCATAGATGACAAAACGCTTCACAAATATTACAATTATATATAAAAAGAAACATCGATACTAATTCATATGAGGAGACCTCCCTATAGATCGCCTTGTACCTCTGTGGTCACCCCGAATATCCTAATTCATATGAGGAGACCTCCCTATAGATCGCCTTGTACCTCTGTGGTCACCCCGAATATCCTAATTCATATGAGGAGACCTCCCTATAGATCGCCTTGTACCTCTGTGGTCACCCCGAATATCCTAATTCATATGAGGAGACCTCCCTATAGATCGTCTTCTACCTCTGTGGTCACCCCAAATATCCATCGCCCCATAGACTATAATGGTTCAGAATTAGATACAATGTCATTATTTCCATTCAGTTGACAGTGTACTCCTGTACTATGCTCCCCGGCTCCATCTAGTGGCGGGAATGCCGTGTGAATGACATTCACCCATCATATGGTGTAAATCGCCCCCAAAGAGACTTAATATCACTCAGTTGTAACCAATTAGTAATCAGGAGCAGATGGTACGCAGTGTCATTGTGAATATATAGACTGCAATGTATAAAATATATAATTAGCAGCGTCTGCAATCATATCAAAGTTCCCAAAAACAAGACGTGTAAAGAGTCCCCAGTCCGCCATATACAGAGCACACGGGGGTCCGCCATATACAGAGCACACGGGGGTCCGGCATATACAGAACACACAGGGCCACCCAAAAAAGAAAGGGTACAAATGGGGGTCGTGCATCAATACGGAACACGCGGGGGTCCGCCATCAGTACAGCTTTGTTTATGGGGGGATGTCGCACTTCCCCCCGGGGAGGATTCAGCACCTCCGGCGGCTCCGGTTCTGAGCGGAACAATTCGCGGTAAAACGCGGAGAAGGTGAAATGTGCGCGGCGTGCTGACGGCTTCTGTGTTGAAACTCTCATCCATTCGCCATCTGAAGACGCTGCTGCGTTGGTTTACAGTTTCCATGGGAACGAACGTTCTGCCGCCATCTGTGAGGTCTGATGATTGCTGAGACGCTCCTTCAAATGTCACATTGTTACCGTTATTATTTGTCGGATTTCATGACCAGAGAGATTTTATCATTTTTAGCCGGAAATCAAAGTCAAAACTTTCTAAAGGTTTCCATCGGGAGAAGGGAGCGACTTCCCCCCCGTGTCCCCCTGGGGGATTCCACTTCCTGTCCCAGAGACACAACAGGAAGCTAGAGGAAATCTCTCTTACAGCTGGATAATGTGACTGGCTCAGTGTTCTCTGTGCTACGGTATATGTCAGAGCTATATAAATATATAATAGTGAGTGACTGTGGGGGAGGGGACATTAGAGTGTAAGCTCCTCGGTACAGAGACCTATTGTGACCGGCTCAGTGTTCTTTGCACAACACTGCTGTATATGTAAGCGCTATATGAATGTATATCAGACTGTGTCTGTGGGGGGTATTGGATTTTAGATGGGGGAGGGGAGGGGTTGGAGGAATCTGGGCCGTGCACAGGTACTCGCAGACATCAGGGAACATTCAGGCTCTCGTCAGGTATTGCCCGTGGTAGGGATTGAACCCAGGACCTCAGTGCCACAGGAGTGTTAACCACTCAGCCACGTCGTTGTTTTTATCAGACTAGAAGAGAGGAGATTGTGGAGAGGGATTTGCTGTATATGATGAACATTCACCACCTTTCATGGGCCGAGTATCGGTATATGTTGGCGCTATTTTTGGCTCATTCATTGACAGGAGTTGTGCAGTGAAGGATTCTGGGTGAGCCGTGCCCTCAGACATGCCGGAAAATCGGCGTACGTGGAATTGTCGCCTCGCAGCTGCTGTGTTGTGTACAGAACTAATTACCAGAAAATCAGACGCGGACACACACTGGGGGGGGGGAGGGGGATTCAGCAATAAACTCCAATCACCTCTTCAAATTTCTGATTGTGAATTGTATATTTGGTCCGAGCGCGCGCCCCCCCAATCCGGACCGATGACATTTCCATCGGAGAAGGAGAGGAACGTTTTAGTGCCGCAATGAGCAGCCGAGGGAACCCGATAACTTGGTGTTTTATGGAGTTTTTTGTTCACTCTCGGCAGCTGCTGTTCATCACGAGGAGTCCTTTCCCCTTCAATCAGCATCACAGCCCTGATGAAGCGGCACTTACAAGGCCCCCGAAACGCGGTGTCTTATAGTGTAGAAGGAAATAAACATTCAGTTGGGACCCTCAATAATGAGCTGACGCGTTTCGGGGGATTTAAACACTCCCCCCTTCATCAGTGCTTCTATGTTGTGTTATGTGACCTCAGAAATGAGCGGACTCCATGGAATCTGGGTGGTGATTGTGAGTAGGCTTTGCAGCGTGGTCTCGTCAGTGATCTGTGTGTCCCGGGCTGCACTGCAGCTTGTAGCCGCCACAGAACAAGATTCGTATAGTGAGATGAATATTTCATGTTCACATTCACGATAAATAATAGAAAGATGAAACGGAGAATGAAGTACGTCTCCGGCGGGAGGCCACCGCGTTCCCGTGCCTAGGGAAATTTATGTATGTGTGATTTATTTATGGGACGACCATTAGTTGGGTGTTTATGCATTTTGACCCTTGTGTGCGTATCCGTCTAATCATCATCATCGGGATATACGATGTCACCGGGAGCGAGAAGAGCGGATTTTAATGTGAAGAAAAGCCACGCGTGTCTGTGTTCCCTACATGTATGGGGACCACCTGACCATCACACGCATATAAGCTTGTTGGACCTGCCATTGCAAAACCATAGACTTGCTCCACCCCTATAGCTCTGAATGTGGAGTTGGCCCCACCCATGGTCATTAATATGAAGTTGACCCCCCCCCCCATAGCCATTAATATAGAGTTGGCCCCACCCATGGTCATTAAGACGAAGTTGCTTCCCCCAATGGCCATTAATATAGAGTTGGTATCCCCAGAAGGGAAGGGGGAGAAGGGGGGGTGGTGGTTTGGCGGGTGCGGAATCTATAATGGGATGGCTGCTAAGACTGTGAGAGGGTGTCTGATGTCTCTGTTGTTTCTTTGTCCCGGCAGGTCCTGGATTGGATCGAAAATCACGGAGAGGCCTTTCTGAGTAAGCACACGGGCGTGGGGAAGTCTCTGCACCGGGCTCGCGCTCTGCAGAAGCGGCACGATGACTTCGAGGAGGTGGCACAGGTACAGGAGTCTTTCTCACACCCCCAACTCCCCACCTTCCTCTTTCCACCCCACCCTTCCCCCTATCCCCTCTCTCTTCCTCTCTCCCCCAAATCTCCCCACCTTCTCTCCCCCTCTTTCCCTAGTCTCTCTCTGTTG